GGGGGGGGGTCGATGGTGGTGAGAGAGGACGAGGGTGAGGTACAACTGCTTCCCCTTTGTTTGGAAGTATTTAAAATATATCAGACTATGAGACAGTTAAAAGGTGAGTCGGCTGTGGACTCTGCTGCCCTCTGCTGGTCGGATCTACAACCACCGACACCTGGGCTGAGGTCGAAGAGAATAAATACCCTCCTCTCTCACCTCTTCTCCTCCACCTCCACGGAAAACGTCATGAGGTCAAAGATGTGAAGGAGAATTCATCAGGAAAAAAATCTGACTGCACTTAGACTGAGCTTCTTTTAACTAACTTTATCTAACTAACACCAGGACGATAAATCCTCCTTTAACCACAAAAACAAACTGGACTGAAACGTTGAAATAAGACGAAACTTCAGCCATTAAAATAATAAGTAAATACAAATTATGAACTGAGCAAGAGGTCAGAATAAATTATATTCAGACAGAAGTTTGTAGTTTCCTGATATTTCTTTAGATTTGTGAAGTAGAGAAATTCATTTTTGGTGCTTTAGTGAAACAACATTTATGTGTAGACTGAAGTATTTAGTTCTGATGATCATATTGTTGACTAGAAATATATCCTGCTTGTTCTTCATGACGGATTTAAAGAGAATGAATCTATATTTATGTGATTTCAGTCGATCAGACATCAAACAGCTGCTCTGTTGTTTCTACATTTCCTGTGGTGAAACTACAACGGTGCGTCGCTTTAAATGTGGCCTCGAAGAATTGTGGGACGGCATTTCTCCTTTCCTTTGGTAAAGGAAGCTCCAGTGTTTCCTCTTTGCTAAAGGAGACAAGACAGGAAGCAGTGAAGCTCCTTTCCTTAGCCCTGATCATCGTGATGCTGCTCAGATACTTCAGATCATTTCACTCAGTTTGACTCTTCTTCTTCTGTTTCGACCTCAGCCCGGATCTCCCAGCATTAAGAGGGAGACATCTTGTTTCTGTGTGATGTTGGGTGAAGTGTGAGGAAGCTGCTCACACACACACACACACACACACACACACAAACACGCTGTGACGGGATGAGATGGCGGTTATGGAGGGTTGTTATGGAGGTCGAGGTTTCCCATAACTCCTGCTCTCACAGCCGTGTGTCGGCGGCCTGAGGTCATGTCTGACCTGGGATCAGTGGTTAGGGGGTGAACTCTAGCAACAATGCCTGTGCCATTATTACCACACACACAGTTAAAGTAAAGGAAGTCAGACATCACACAGCAGCGCTCACTCACTTTAGATCCTGTAACCTGAGACCTGATCCCGGACTCTGGACGGATCCAAATCACATTCAGTCAAACTGGGTCAAAAGTAGAGACCCGTCCTATCGCAGCGGGTCAGCGTGTCAGTATCTGATACCAGAGCACAGGTGGAGAATCATCCTGCTGCTGCTGTTATCTCACTGTGGCATGCTAAACTAAACTGTGCCTCTAAGTCTTTAATGGAGGCTGCTGAACGGACTGTGGGACTCACTCTGGTAAACTCTGAGACAGAACACATGTAAAGTCAAATCATTTAGACTAAAAACTGAAACCCAGTGGGGAGCGGTGATTGGTCGTTAGGTGCTAAAGCTAACTGACTCTGAGGACATGTTGACGGGGAAATACTGGGACTCTGTTCACGGCAGAGGAGTTCTGTTCTGCCCAGAAAGGTGCTCTGTTTGTGGGGCGACCCGACGGCTGAGCGGTCCCCTTCCCTCTGTCAAATAAAGGAGTCATGGCCAAATGATGATAATAAGGATAATTTAAAAAAAGAAAAGGTGCTGTTTGTCACCAGACTCCAAATCTACATCTAAACTCTGTCTCCGGTGGATCAGGTCTCTCTTTCTGATTTGCAAACCTCTACTGAAAGACTACACTGATTTCTCCAGGTGAGCTCTGCTGTGTGACGAGTTCGTGACCTCATACAGTGATATAAAAGGGGAGGTGTGGTTGTTAGAGAGAACAGGTGAGGAGAGAGGGATCACAAAGACGTGTGTGTTGTTGTTGTTGTTGCTGGTCTGGATCTACTTTACTTCACCGACCAGACACACACAGACACACACACACACACACACACACACACACACACACACTGTTTCATTTTCATTAAAACCGTTCTGACTGTTCAGATTTGTTCTTGAATAAAATCAATAAAAGCTTCATCTGAACCCAGAAGCATCTGTGTGTCTGACGGGAGCCGAACAGCTGCAGCGGCCCAGAATCTAATATTTCTTCTTTAACAGTTTAAAAAGAGGTCAGAGGTCAGAGGTCAGAGGTCGGCCGGTCACCGTCTAAACAAAACAGCATCTTGTGAATGAATCCAGTTTGTACTGAGTGAAGCAGAGAAGAGGGTTGGGGAGAAATCAAGACACACACTTGTGTATAAGGGGGGGTGGGGGGGTGGAGGGGTGCAAGCGTCGTACAGTGTAAGTGCAGGTGAGCGAGTAAGATCTTTATTCACCTGTCGACCTTTGGGCTGGATGGTGGAGGGCAGGTCCTGTGGGAAACAAAGCGTTGATGACAGAGAGACGAGGTTAAACGAGATAGAAACACTGGACTCAGACCGAGAGGAGAAGCATGCACATTCATCTGCAACAAAAAACACACAGACAGACAGAGAGAGGAGAGGTGGGGAGGAGAGGAGAGCGACTCCCATCTGTTAAAGCAGATCCGGCTGTGGAGCGACCAAGCAAGCACAGAGCGAGCGAAGCAGCTGCAGCATCAGCATCAGCATCAGCATCAGCGTCAGCGTCAGCGTCAGCATCAGCATCAGCATCAGCATCAGCACGACCACGGCATCAGAGTCTGTCCGGAGGAACAGGAGGAAGCTGCACAACCCCGTAAGGTTTAGTGTGAAGCAGAGAGGGAGAGAGTGTGTGTGTTTCCCCCGGCGCCACGGCAACCACAGGAGGCCCAGCGTGTTGTGTAGCAGCACGTAGCAGGCGTCACGAGGCGGCACACCAATTTGTTAACTGAGATATCGGACACGGGGCCTTTGGCTCAAACAGATGACCAGGGAGAATGACACGGGATCGAGTCAGGAGATCAGTGCAGGATGACCCACCTACTGCTAATGCTAATGCTACTGCTAATGCTAATGCTAATAATGCTACTGTCACAGTCACAAGTCAAAATAAAAACAAACACACACAACCCATGAGAGACGGACATCTACACGGACAAACGGATCAACTGACGGACACATGACACATCAACGTGACAGATGAGACGCACCGGAGGGAGGGGGGTGGGGGGGGCCTG